AAAGCGAGCCTCGGTCGGGATCTTGTCAACCCGACACAAGGGGCATAGCCACGGTTTACTGTCATTTCGATATTGGATGCACGAGCCATGGGCTCGTGCGACACACTTTCGACAATCTACCCATTCCACATAGCCTTCCCGGTTAGGACGCATGGCTGTCTCTTATACACATCTAGATGTGTATAAGAAAAGAAGTACAGGAGAGAAAAAAAAATGTTTCTCTATCTGTCGTTGTGTGAGAAACTCTTGTTGTTTCGTTTTGGTCTTATATGCGAGAGAGTGGGAGAGAGAGAGGGGCGTCTTTCTTCCGAAGTAAAGGGGAACAAAAAAAGATATTTGTCTCTTTCTTTTTGTCACTTATTGGAAAAAATCATCTCAAATGTGGCCAACCTTATGAAGTGGTGAAAACCTGGGGTGAGACTGAAGTTTACCCCAAAGTTCAATACTGCCTGACACTTACGTGGTCAACAGGGACATCGAATCAGTTTTGGCACGCAGTAGCCAACCTCTCTCTCTCTCTCTCTCTCTCTCTCTTTAGTATTTTATAAAAACCCTTGCAAGTAGCGAAAAACTTAACAATTCCTGTGTGTCATGCCAATTTGACCGACACGTGTGAACAGGAAGACAACCCAACGACCTCGCGTACCGTTCGGGAAGGAGCAACATCGAGCACTTAATAAGATGGTGTAGGTAAGAGAAACCGAGTGAGCATGACAGAGTCACAGAAAAGCAACACGGGTGGTGGCAGCAAGAAGTGTTCGTATATGGGTACAGAAACGACGACCAGTCCCAGGACAAAAAATAACGACGAAGACTCATGCAGAGAGGTCGCCACCAAGCGAACCCTTGTTACCACTGACCACCGAGAGGTCAGTGAAGAGGTGGAAGAAAATGTTGAAGGACCCTTGCTACGCAGAAATGTACGCAATAATGACGGAGGGTGAAGTAAAGTCTCCCCAGCTCATGGTTGAAGAGTCATCTGGCATTAAGGAAAAAGCGAAAGTAGGGGACATGGTCAGAACGAGAGAAGAGAAGACACACATGTTTGATGATGACGAATTGTTCCCCTTCACGTGGAAATCAAGGAGACACGCCATTCCCGTAACAAAATCCGACGTTGCACGATTGGCTGACAACGAATGGCTGAACGACAACATTATCGACATCTATTTGCAGTTTGTGTATGAAGAACACTCGCCGGCACGGGACAACGCAACAGTCCATGTGTGTACAACTTTCTGGCACCCCCAAATCATTGCTAACCAGAAAGTGTATGTGGCGAAAAGCGGATGGAAGGACGCGGTCAAGAACAGATCAGGGAACTTGCATCGACTAAGCAATAAACTGCGATGCACGACAACTACCGTGATACGTGTGAACCATAACAACCATTGGATTTTGCTTCTGTTGCTGAATGTGAGAGACTTCTTAGCAGTCAATCAGGACAAGAATGTCGATGAACCTCCTATTGCCATCATTGTTGACTCCTTCAAAGGGAAGAAACGAGAGGAATGGAAGGCCTTGCGAACATTTATGTGGCACGAGTACCTGTACGAGGCGTCCAACACGAGCGTGTTGACTCCAGAAAAGGTTGATACATCGTGTGTGACATGTAGAGATCTACTAGTTTGTAAACTCTTGCATGCAGAATGCCCGCAGCAGAACAATTTCACTGACTGTGGTGTTTATGTATGTTGCATTACTGCCACAATAATACAATTTCTTGCATCAATTGCGCCGACCGAGGTAAGAGCTAGGGACATACTGGAAGTTGTTAATACAACATACGTGAACGAAAGAACTGTTAACCAATTTCGTCAGTCTATGGTGGACCGGCTAGCGCGTTGTGCTGCAGTTGCAAAAACTCACGGCACAACGACAGCCCCACGCATAGCGAAAGCGTTAAGAGGCCTCATAAATAGAAGACAAAGTAGTGCTTCATAAGACACGAATTGCCGTCAGAAGTGTCGAAGGTAAGTGTCGAAGGAAAGTTCACTACTTTGTGCAATTTGAACATAAAGACCGGTCACTTGACCAGTTGATTGACACGCAGTAGACAACCTTCTCGCGAAGATAGCCGGGGTCATCTCCCAAAAGGAAATTTCAAAAAGAACGAAGCAGATTCTCGCGCGATGTCCGCGCCTAAAAAGTTTTGAAACCGAAACAAGAGAAATGACGTCAACATTTATTATTCACGCGCTCAGCGGCGTACCATCCATCCACCCGACTAATCAATCGCCCGTCCTAGGACACACCCAGCTCCAAACTCAACCATCCGAAAAGAGTCGACGCAAAAGACGAAGAAGCGAGGGTACTGATGCAATTTCCCATCCATCCCAATCTCCTGTAATTGGCCCAACCTTCCCAGCTTAGGACTCCTCATTGCAATCGCGCAGAAAATCGCGCGCTACAGAAAGTGGTTCGTCACATATGTGACGCCCAGGGGGTTCCAATATTAGCAAGCTCCTGCTTGCTTGTTGAAACGTGTCGATTTCTCTAATCAATCGACACGCGGAGCTCTTTTCTCTATGCCACTTACCGTTCGAATGAGTGTGGACGTCGTCCAACGTGGCAAACACAACTCTACTACTAATTCCTCAAGGAGGGCTATTGACAATCCAAGGAGGGGATTACACGTGTCGTTGTCATGACGCGTGCCCATCAGTCATACATCAGCGAGCGCCAGGGAGGGGAAAAGGGAGACGGTACATGGAGGGATGGCGAGGGGGAGGGTTGATTGGTAGCGGGGGAAGGAAGCTTTCCATTCCGGCCACCGTCACCTGGAGTTCCTGATAGTGAATGATCCGGTGAAAGCGGGGGAATCAGTTGCCGGTTTGAGGGAGGGATGCGAGGTAGTCGGGGTAGAGGGTGGTAAAGGTTCTGAAAAGCGCAGCGCGGAAGTGATCGTGGTTCTCGCATGCGGGGATAGTCCCCGTAATCATGCAGTATACCTCGATCATATTGTGGCCTCGCCACATGGCGCTAAGGAGAAGGATATGGACGCAGAAGACAGGGAGGGCGCATTGGGTGGAAGGGTGGGGATGAACAATGACAGTGAGGTGGGTAGTGTAGAAAAAGCGGAAGGTATCGATGGGGAAGGGATTGTTGGGGAAGGTGACGCGAGTGGTAATCTGGTGGAAAGAGAGGTGGTCAAGGGGACGACGGGATAATGACCGGGGACGAAGCCCGTTGCCCCGCATCGGTACGCGGACGAGTTGGTGGACGGCCGGTGGTGGAGGGGGAGGGGGATCGGCTTCGTCGCCGTCTTGCCGGTGCGGCTGAAGTCTTGGCAGCTGGGTCCCCATCCTCGGGCTTAGGTGGCTCTGGATCCTGGGCCGGATCGTCGGTGAGCGGCTGACTGGTTGCGCTGGCGAATTCCAACTGTCGCTTCCCGACCGCGGTCTCTTCCCTCTTCTGCGCCTGGGCCTGCGCCCGAGCCTCGTCACGCACTTCCTCCTCAAATCCTTCCCACTCCGACTCTTCTAGCTCCTCCTGGTCTTCTTCTTCTTTCTCCTCGTCGTCTTGTTCTTCTTCCTCCTCCTCCTCCTCACTTTGCTCCCCTTCGCTGTGCTCACTGTAACTCCCCTCTTCGGGAGTTTCTTCCTCATCGGCCTCTTCTTCAGCTTCTTCTTCTTCTTCCGAGCTTTCCTCTTCCGCTTCAATCTCTACCTCTTCGTTCTCGGAGGCCGTCCGATTTTGAAAGAAGGCGAGATCGACTATCTCGTGCGGGTCCAGATAACTGCGCTGTGACGGTGGGTTGCGGCTGCTTCCGGGCGCTTCCAAAGACGCCGACCACTAAAGGTATGGTCAATGTGCGTGGGAGGACGTGCGGGACTGGGCTGTTGTCGTTTTGCGAGACGATCTCAAGTGGGAGATCGTCGGCCAGCTGCGCCAGGAGGACCGTTAGCTCTTGCACAATTGGTTGGCGATGACCGGGCCGCACCGATCCGAAGAGGAATGCGAGCAGATCGCCCTCCACTCCCGTTCACCACGCCTGGATGATAAGCAGCTCAAGGTACTCAGCCCACTGGCGGTGATCCTCGTGCCGCGTCCACGTGACCTTTACTCCAACCAGACACACCGACAGCTCGACAAAGTGTTCTCGCCAACGCCTCCACTGTTGGGGATCAAGGAGGGGGACGACGAGTGACTCCAGACAAAAGGAAAGATGCAGATGAACTCCGGATTGTCAGAAGGTGGGAAAGAAGGAAGGGAGGTCGACGGTAGAGATTGGGGACGGGTTCATTGAGGACGTTGGAAGGAAATGAGTTCATGGAGCACCACCGCCGGCTCGTGCTGGAAAACTCGGATCCCATCGAGGTCGACGCCGTCCGTGGGGAAAAGATTATCCCCGTGGAGCGTGAGCCAACGATTTCACTCTGATGCAAACTGCTGCGCCCACAGCCGGAGCGTCGTCTTGATAGCCGTATGCCGCAGCGGGCTGATGGTGCTGATGTCGCCGCTGAAGGCGACAACCGTAGACACGTGGCTGATTCCAGGAGCTGATCACCGATGAACCACTACCGCCTCCGCCAAAACAACCGCCCGAGGATTGCCTGCAAATCGAAACTCAGCGGCTGCGTACACTCCCCCAGTACAGAAGAACTGCGCAAGTCGCCGAAGGTCCGGGCTGAGCCGCGGGTGATGAACTTGTCGGATCGCCGAGATGTAACACCGTGGTACCAGCAGAGGATCGCTAAGAGCTCGCTCCGCGAGAAAACTCATGGCGATGGTGACGGGGACGGAGTAATAGAAGGAGAACGAGAAGGAGACAGAGAGACAAGCGATAAGCAGTTGTCATCCTCTTCCGCACTGGAGGAGGAATTAGATGAAGGCGAAGATGGGGAAGAAGGAATGGGATGAAGGTCGGACACGTGGCGGATGATAGGATGAGCCGATCGACTGCTGGAGACCTCAGGCGCACGCCGCACGGTGTTCACGCCGTTCGGTCCGAGCTCAATCACGCGGAATCGCCCGAAGAATCGTGGCGCTAGCTTACCCTGGCGAGCACATTTCCTCACCTGCACGATGTCCCTCAATTTGTACTGGGGCCATGGACCTGCGTTCCCGTTCCGGACCTCGTAGCTTCGGACCTCATAGCTTCGGACCTGTCGGCCGTGGGCAAACTCGGTCAGTTTCTGGCGTTTTCGGGCTAGCCTAGGGAAGGACCGTTCCATTAGCTCTAAGTGTCGCTTGGCCTTGTCTCGAACAGTGTGGGCTGTCGGTTGAGCGTCGATTCATCGGGGAGGCTCGATATCGAAACGCAAGCGACGTTATTGGTCCTTAATTGGAAGGGGCTCCGGCCCGTTGATGCGTGGGGCGTTCCGCGATGAACCGCCAAGATGTGGTCTACGATATCGGGCCAGGGCCTGGGGTCCCGTGCCGCGATGTTTCGTCGCAGTGTTGTCTTTATCACCCTATTCGCGTTTTCTACCAGCGCATTGGATTGTGACATGTGGGGTGCGGTATTCCGCACAGCGACACCGTGTATGACCAGGTTCCTTAATACTTCCCCTCGGAATTCTGCCCCATTATCGGTCAGGATTTCTTCCATATCCTGGTGCATCCCGAGAAAACGGTTAACATATCGCGCGATTTTGGCGGCTTGTCTCATGCGACATGGATAGGCCTCGATTCGAAAAGTGGTCGACAAATACCAACAGGACTGAATATTCACAACTATTAGGACCAGGGGGTGCCACGATATCGGTAGTATCCATACTCACCCTTTGGAACGACCGCTCGACTACTGTTGGTACTATTGATCTTGGCGGCTGGATCGGCGCCTTGTCAGCAGCGCAGACTTGACAGTTTGCGACGATGAATTTCACATCGTCCCAAATTTTGGACCAATACCATTCATTTTTGTCGATTGTCGACTCCGTAATCCGTACGGCAAAATGGGCAGTCGTTTCTTCGTGTGCTATCTTCACCCAGTCGTACCTCATAAACGGATGCGGTACAACCATCCAAATCCCACTGCCGTCCGTTTTCCATTTTTCTAACCTACCCTCTACCCATCGATAATCCCGAGCCCTTTCATTAGCCCTCCTCCGATCTTCCTTGGTGAAATCCTGGAGGGGGTTACCTACGAAGGTGGCAATCAAAGCGATATCAGTCCATACTTCGGCCCTTCTAAACTTCCGGGTCTTCTCCAATCCTTCTGACGTGGCATCCAAAAAGCGAGCCTCGGTCGGGATCTTGTCAACCCGACACAAGGGGCATAGCCACGGTTTACTGTCATTTCGGTATTGGATGCACGAGCCATGGGCTCGTGCGACACTGTCGACAGTCTATCCATTCCGCATAGCCTTCCCCGTTAGGACGCATGGAGACCGAATATACGCGAGAAATTGCTTCGCAAAAATAGCAAAATTTATCAAGCAGGGAGAGAAGAGATGATGAGGAGAGGGGAGAAAGAGGGGTAGTGGGCTTGCCTTCGTCACCCATTGCCACCAATCTGCTTCTTGCCACGTGGGAGAACTGCCACTTGTCCGTACTTAGGCCCGTTTGCCGGTTCTGACTCCTTCCATGGAGTGATTTCCTCGCCCTTAGGTACTTTAGCAGGCCGATGCAGACGTGTCAGTCCGTCCGCGTTGCCGTGTCTTTCTGTCTTCCGATGGATGATATCGAAGTCGTACTCCTGTAGACATTCCGCCCAACATCCAATCATTCCCGTGTAATTAGTGAGCTTCTTCAAGGTCAGCAGGGGTCCGTGATCCGTCACGAGGCGGAACTTCTGTCCGTAGAGATACTGATGGAAGTGCTGGATTCCCCAGACTACTGCATAGCATTTGCCCTGAGGTGTTGAATCATTCCTCCGTTCGTACGACACTGTTCGCGACGCATACTCGATGACGTGTTTGTGACCATCGTTCCCCTTCTGCGCCAAAATAGCGGAAATAGCCTCCGGTTGCCAGTCCGTGATGAGAATGAATTGTTTCGAAGGGTCCAGTCAGATCAAAATAGGCGCCGTTGCCAGAGTGTCCTTGAGGGTCGTGAAGGCCTGCTCGCACTCCGTGTCCCAACTGAGAGGCTGGTCCTTTCGTAACAGGTTCGTTAGTGGCCGTGCAATCGCGGCGAAGCCTTTGATGAAACGGCGATAGTACGACGCCAACCCCAAGAAGGCTCGAACCTGCGTCAGCGATGTGGGAACAGGAGCTTCTTTCACAGTCGTGACTTTCCTGGAATCCGGTCACAGTCCTCCACGTGTCACGACGTAACCCTGGAACGAAATTTCTAAAAGAAAAAATTCGCTTTTCTCGAGCGTAATCTTGAATCCAGCGTCTCTCAACGCTCCCAACGTCCACTCGATGTGTTGTGCATGTCTGTGATAGGTCACCGAGTAGACAAGAATATCGTCCATGTATACGATCACGCAAAACTTGATCATTCCCTGATTCAGTCGTGTCTTGTTGACGAAGTTCTTGGAACATCACGTTCATTGCTCGTTGAAACGTGGCCGGCACGTTACAAATTCCCATTGGGCAAACAGTACGAAGGCCGTCTTCGGCTGATCTTCCTCCTTAACCAGAATGTGATGGAAGTCATGCCGAATATCAAACTTACTAAAATAATTAGCACACCCAATCACATCCAGCAAATCATCAATCCGGGGGAGGGGATACACATCTTTAATCGTGATTTCATTCAGTTTGCGATAATCGATGCATATGCGGATTGATCCATTTTTCTTCGGCACTAATACTACCTGAAACGACCATGGTCCAGTGGCGGGTTCGATCCACCCGCTTGCTTCAAATTCCCGAATTCGTTCGATAACCTTTTTTCGTTCTATCAGGGAATATCGGTAGGGTTTGCAGTGGATTGGGGAATGATTTCCCGTCCGAATTTCGTGTTGAATGACCAGTGACAAGCCGATGTCAGTGTCCGTTATGCTAATCGCTCTCTGATATTCCGCCAGAATGTCCGCAATTAAATAATGAATTTCATCAAGTACGTACTGTGGGACGTGTAATTCGAAAAGTTGATCCCAGATTCGTACGTCGATCTGCTACGTGCGTGCTTGTTTCGCCACATCGGGGGGTGGCGCAGAGATAAACGAATGGTCCGATCGCCAGGAGAACATCGTGGCCATCATCTGGGCGTCTTCCTCTCGGATGGCCACGTGTCCTTCCACGGTGATCCCATCGCAGATATCTATTCATGGTATGGTTCTAGTTGTGATCTTTACTCCGAGCTCATCTGATTCAGCCTCGAGACGCCCAGGGGGTTCCAAAGAACTGGCCTCCGCCCCTAGACGTAACAGTCGTACTTCCTTTGCGGGTGTCAATAGGGACTTCGATAGATCTGTGATATCGCAGTAGTGTTTTTTGTCATTGTATCGGGCGAGGAGAGGGGAGATTCCTTCGTACAGGGTTTGAGGGGGTTCCAAAGAATCGACCATCCTCGAAATCTGTACGAGGGATTCACCTAAAATCATCGCCATGGTCCTTTGGATATTCCGACTGGTTAGATGCATCGTTCTTGCGATCGTTCTGGACGGCGGGTAATAAATACGCTGGCGTGCTAGCTTCAGAATTTTCGGATAATTTTTCGTCACTGCTATCCACATCCTTCGATGATGGCTTATCATCTGCGGAGTCTTCCCAGGTGATCATGCGAAGAGTTCCCGCTATCATCGGAGAAACTCGCGGGATTGCGTTGATGGTAGTACGAAGGGTCAGCCTCATAGGTACAGTATAGGGCTTTCCTCCAGTATTTCGGAGGATGATTGACCATCGCTCGAAATCCAAGTTTGCTCGTAACGCCACAAGAGCGGGAAGGCCGAAAAGAACGTCGTAGGTATTTACGTCTAATATCACAACGTCTCCTAACGCATGCACCTTTCCTAATCGAAAAGCGACGTTGGTCATTTTTTCCACCGATTTAATCTTTTCTTCGTCTGCCGAAACGAGCTGATCCTTTTCCGTAAGCATGATCAGATCGTTTTTCCTACCCGCCCTCTCAACTACTCGCAGCGAGATAGCCAAAACAGCAGCTCCTCAATCAATGATTGTATTGTACGGAATTCCCCATATTTCGATGTCGCATTCCGCAGATTTTCAAAAGATGGGTTTAATCCGTAGGAAATGATCGTCTTTCTGTATTAACCCTACCCGTATTGGATCCGAAGTGTCAACCGTATTTTCGTCTGGTGTGGATCTTTTAGCTTTCACATTCGTTGTTCGAGCGAGGGAGAATCATTTTCGATTCACCTTGTAGTGTTGTAACATTCGCTCATTAGCTTGTTCAGAGATCGAGAGCAGATGGCCAATCGAAAGTGGGATCCGATGGTCCAAAGCTCAGACGATGTTCAGCACGTCGATTTCCCCAGTGACGAAGGTGGGTCCTTCCGACTCCATCTCTCCTGGAGAAGATCGCCACTCCGCCACTTCTTTCTGTTCCGGCGCCGGTCTGATCGTTCCAATCATTCCGAGCCCAGGATAACCAAGCGATACATACTGATCTAATGGGATGAGCTCAACAGCCTCTTCCGTGGTTGCTAACGCACTTCCTCCACCTTCCATTTCTTCCATCAGGGCTCCTACTCGTCCCGGTCTGTTAGCGATCGGGGCTGCGGCCATTGGTGCAACTCCGACCCGTTGTTGCGGGGGCCAGTGGGGGCAATCATGGGCTAGATGCCCTACTTGATGGCATGCATAACAAACGTTCAGATTGCTTGCGGCCCCTCTGAGAGCACGCGCCGGGGCTAGCCCTTGTTGGATTGGAGGGGCACTCACCGCGATGGGCCGCATGTTTCTCATCATGGCTTCTAACCGAGCATTATGCTCTCGCTGTTCCTTTTTGCTTTCCTGGATTAGGCTAATTAACGTTTTGGTCAGCTCAAAAATAGATGTAGACTCATTTGTCCTTACCGGGTTTTCAATCGGTGGCGGGGGTGCCGTCATTAAAGGTGCCGGTATCACAGGAACAGGGACACTCGTGATTACACTCGGGGCGGGTCGTTTAGGGGCTATCTGTTCCAGATAGGTGACCGGGCCAGACACAAATCCCATATTCTCGAACTTGTTCTGCAATGCGGCAAACTCAGCTCTTGCCCTTGCGAGTTCGGACGAATCCCCTTCCTTAGGATAGTCTTCTCCTTCCAGGAAGTTCGCCTCGAACTTCCGTTCCATCCCCGCTGCAGCGGCCATGATCTGTTGCAGCGTGTGATTGATGGAGGAAAACTGCTTTCGCAACTTCGCCCTTATAGTCCGGCTACGAAGCCCATCAATAAACAAATCTCTCCCGACTTGCTCGCCTCGCTCAGTCTTCACAAACATTCGGTAGAACCGGTTTCGATACTCTGCGATAGACTCGAGAGGTTTTTGCACTCAGTCCTTGATCATGTAAAGTGCTTGCTCTGGATGGACATAATCGAATCGATTAAGAAAATCCCGTTCGAAGGTCGGAAGATCTACCCATACATAGGTACTAAACCAGTGATGAGCGTCTCCTTCTAATCGAGCAGGAATGTTTACCTGAGCTTCGCTATCGTCATACTGCTGTGTTCGGAGCGTGACCAGCCAGGCTCCTGCAAGATGATGTGCAGGGTCGAACAGATAAAGATCGGTTGGCGTCATGGGAGACCGTGCTCGTGGGGCAGGTTGATTAGGATTTTGTTGATTAGCATTCTGTTGCGGATTCGGATTAGCGTTCATGTTGGCTGCCCGTCGATTAGCCGATCTGCTTCGGGTGATGACGGGGTCGCGTCTATGCGCGTTCCGGGGTCGAGGTCGCCCTCGGTTAGCCAGATCGCTAAATTATCGTGTTGTTAGTCCTAAAGCCTGGCCACGTGTCAGACTCCGATACCAATCTCACGCCCAACGCGACTTCCTGACTGTAGTAGAGTGTGGGCCTGGAAGTGCGACAAGGGGTGTGCCAAGGATTTTTGGGAAAGTGGGGGTGGAGTCCCAGGTCAGAACTGAGATCTCCTGTGGCAGAGCTTTTCAGGGGCACAAGTGCAATTTGGCGGAGAGGGCGGACCGCCTCTGGTCATAAGGCAGATGGCATGCGCGGATCCTTCGAGGTCGTGTGATCCATTGGTTCCGGGGACGGCGGTTCGCTGGAAGGTCCCTCCGGGGT